CACATGTCGCGACTCGTCTTCTTAAACAAATCTGACTTTATAATGTTGCAGGGTCTACCACCATCAATGAGTACCCGGGAGCTATCAAACTGCCCCAATATGGTGGTGATTACCATGGAAAAAAAATTCATTGGAGACACCTCCAACTTTCTCCGAGTCCCAAGACCCCATTATGGGCCAGTTAGGAACCTTTGTCGACGTACTTACATATTTTATGTAGATAGCCATCATATCAGTGCTCTTTCTCTTCATCGTCCCTTTCGAGGGGAGATTTTCCTGGAGCACTCCTTAAGTGATGGAGGAGATGTGTAGGCGTATTCCTTTACTGGCCTCCTTGATTTTCCTGCCGGTCCCGTCATTTGTAGTCTTCAAGGGGGATTTACCTTTAGGTTTAGGTGAATCATCCTTATCTCTTTTTCCCTCTTGATGTATTCGGACAGTCGACCCTTCTTAATCATATATTTGATGGCATCCTTTAGCTAGACTCAATTGCCTATGTTATGGTCGTGACTTTATGGAAGCAACAATACATCGACTTATCACTACGAGATGTTTTCCTGACGGAAAAAGGAAGTTCATCTCCTATTTTCCAAAATTCGGTGTTGGTGCACTCCTAGTATATCTTTTATCGAGAGACTATCAAAGGGGTGAGCTTGTCATATGTCTATGTATACCTCAATTATATTCATCTTGACGTCGGTGGGACTCCTTCCCGATCGGGCCACTGAAGTGGGTTTTGGTTGACTCAGGATTTTCGAACTACGTACTCAATTTCTCCTCTAGAAGTATGTATGACTCAATTATGGTAAGAATCTCCTGGATGATATTCATTTTCTTTCTCCCTGTCTTCTATCTGAAGGGATGTAGGAGGCCATTCTCAAAGATCCAACATTAAAGGTCCTCTTCGGCCCCATTGACCTCAACAACAGCTTGTGTAAATTGGTTTAAATAAGACTATAAGCTTTCTTTCTTTCCATGGTCGATCCTGATTAGAGCGACTTTAGTCACAGGTCACATCTTCTGAGCTATAAAGCATCCAAAGAATCTCTCATAGAAAATTTTCCATGATGTAATGCTACCGTCTGGCAGGCTATTGAACCATAACATCGTCGGTCCGATAAGTTTCATTGACGAGGTGCACATGCTTGCTGGAGTATCCTTTGAGTGAGTGATATATATATATATATATATATATATATATATATATATATATATATATATATATATATATATATATATATATATTCAACACATTTCTCACTGTATTTATAATTAATTCAATGTATAAGACCAATAAGTACAAGCTTCCACTATTGGAAATTATTGGTGTTACTTCGACGAAGATTTCTTTTTCAGTGGGTTTTGCATTTTTAATAAGCGAAAAAGAGGACAACATTAAATGTTCTTTAGAAGTATGTAAGACTCTGTTGAAAGACAAAGAAAACACGCCAAAGGTTATTATCACTGATCGCAATACTGCATTGATAAATTTGGTTGCAAAAGTATTTCCTACTTCACACGCATTACTTTGTAGGTATCACATCACAAAGAATGTGAGAAGTAGACTTAAGCATGCGGTAAGGACCAAAGAAATAAAGGGTGAATATGGAAAAATGGTCAAAGCTAGTGTGATACTATAAGAATAATGGATGCTTGGAATGTTATAATAAATTCTTCCACGAAGGAGTTATATGTCGATTACGTTATACTTTTTAGGAAGGTATGTGAGAAATATCCTAATTTCTTAAGATATATTGAAATTAAAATTCTAAAATAGGTGAAGGAGAATATTGTTTGTGCTTTGGATGATCAGGTTAGTCACTTTGGACATAATATGACTAACCGAGTTAAATCAGCTCATGCAACACTAAAGAATTGGTTAGAAAATAGTCAAGGTGATTTATGTAGAGAATGAGACGTTGTGATCCAAATGATCCAAAATTAGCACAAGGAGATACATACATCATTTGGTCGCAACATTACATAGAGAATGGGACTCTGTGATCCAAATGATCCAAAATCAGCATAAGGAGATACATACATCATTTGGTCACAACATTACGGTGTTGGAATAGAGATTAAGAGACAACAATCTCTATTCACAAATTTTCAATAACATATCTCAAGCAGGATTGAATTTTATTTTTCATAAAGCCAAATAAGATGAGGAAGTATGTTCAGATAGATCAAATTATGGTTGTACCATTAGGAAGATGTGTGGTCTTCCATGTGCTTGTTTAATTTTAAAGAAGGTGAAACTTGATAGCTTAACACAAAAGGATGAATTTTATGACCATTGGAAAAGGCCCCGCTTTAATGATGATAGTGTGATGAAGGATGTTAAATCATATATCTATCTTGCTCGAATGAGAAGTAATTTAAGAAACATTTTTTAAAGTCGATGACAACATAAAACTCCACATCAAATAGCAATTGGGGAAGATTTCCTATCAAGAAACCATAAAATTGAAGCCACTGTCGTAACTGCTAAAAATAAAAGTTTCTCCTAAAAAGGTCAAACTATTGTCGAGTGATAACTAAACGATGCGGTCTCCTTCCTATTTTGAACATGTGGATACACTTTTTTCGGATTCTCCAACTCCAAAATCTCAAAAAAGTGTTTTCAAAGGTGCTCGCATTAGCAAACCATCACTTATTTGGATACACATATTTTGATTCATTTTAGTTTTTTTTTTCCAACAATGCATTTAGGTGATTAAACATGTTTTACATGTAATGTTAGATTAATATTAACTATGTCAAATGTATACATTTTCATAGATTTTAATGTAGGTTTCAATTTTCCAAAAATTTTAACATTATTTTGTGCTATAACATGTTTTATCTCTAAAACAAGTTATGTGGTGAATCCAAAAATGTACATCCAGACCCACCCCATATTGTTAAAAAAAATGATAATAGAGGTTTATTCATAAATGACTTTCCGGAATCACCATAATTTAACTAAATGAAGTAGATGTACCTGAAAGTACATCTTCGAAATGTCCCCTGAGATATAATTAGGTCTCTAAGATAAGTTATGTTTTTAAACACAGGTTATGTGTGAACAGTACCGGGTGAATCTGGAAATGCACATCTGGATCCACCCCATATTTAAAAAAATGATAACATTGGTTTATTCGAAAATATAGTTCCAGGTTCACCCTAATTTTACTAAACAAAGCAGGGTGTCTCCGGATGTACATCTCTAGAATATCTCCTGAGAAAAGGTTGGTTTCTAAGGCCCATATTGATCTAAAACTTATATAAATATGAGTGTCACTAAACTTGTTAATACAAATACACAAAGAACATTCAAAATGTCTCAATAAACATATCTCACTTTTGTCTACTGCAACGTCAAGAAATCGTCTCTTCAACTTAGGTTCTTAGAGATCATTTGTCTTGTCGATCTAAAATTAAAAAAAAAACTAGAGAATTTATACTAAGACTATAAAATATTTGTGATGCTCTATTATCTCTCACCCTCAATTGACAGCGATGGAAAGAAACAGTTCACCGATTTTGAGTTGAAGACAGATGAAGATTTAACTGTTATGTGGAGTACACTTCATTGTTATGAAGCAAAAATTTTGATTGAGCTGGATGTGAAGATTATGAGATCTACCGAGAATACTTTAAAGATGTTGAAATGCCCTACTTGATGATCAAATGTATTGTTCGATTTACGTTAATGACTTGACTAAAATCCATTGTTTGGATTAAAAAAAATAGAGAATTCTTAAAATGATGTAAATTTGTATAGTATTTTATTAAAGTTAAATTTGAGAAATTTCAAATGACACTAAAGAGTAATGAATTTGGAATTGTCCATTCACTTCATATATTGCGAATGTTAAATTGTTTATTAGTAATTTTTAAAATTTTGCAAGATAGTCCTCATATTTTATAAATATTTCAAATTCACCCCAAAATTTTCAAAAAGTTGCAAATAAATTATTAATAATTTTCAAATTTTACAAATTGGTCCCTTCAAATTTTCAAATTTTGCAATTTGATCTCTATATTTTATATTTTTAATTTGGTCAAAAAATTTTAAAATTTATGAAAATGACTCTAAAAATTTAACAATAAATCATTTTAATATTTCATTCAATCAAAAAAATTTAAAAATAACAAATTTCAATTAAATTTTATAAATTGTTTAAAATTTTAAATTCCTTAAAAATTCTAAAATACATCATCCAATCACATTTTTATGGGGGAAAGAAAAATCGTGTGATGCTTTTGGACTCAAAACGGTTCAACCCGATCCTTTGTCCACTCATGTGTCCCCTGTAAACTCCCATTGACTTGCCACGCGTATTGCATGGAGAATAACATAGGACACACGTGATTCAGCTCCACGTATAGGACAAAGTAAATTAAGAAGAGCACCCAACGACATAAACACTCATGAGGCAAAAATAATCTAATTCACTCTATAACTAAACAATATCTTTTACCTTAAACATTTTTCAGAATATTCTTGGAGCTTTATCTCACCTTCATTAGTTGTTTTTAATACGTAAATTACAATATTTCTTTTCAACAACTTATATGTTGCTCGTGTCGTGTTTATATTGTTATTTTCTGCATTTATGTTCTTTTCTTTTGTAAATTATTAAAAGGACTCTTAGATGACTTTTAGCCCCTTAAAATAATATGAATTGAACAGAAAAATATATTATCCTTTGTTTGCCAACTGTTGAAGATGCTTTCGACGGTACTCATGGATTCATGCAAATGGAACGGATTTAAATATTTGCACCTATTTTAACTTAATATACTCAACTAGGTGCATATTTTAAAACTAAAAAAAAGTTTAACTTTTGTGATACTCCTACAATTTTAAAAAATATATATTTTAAAATTGAATCAAGCAAATAAACTGAAAAAAATAATTATGATTAAGTGTGCATTAGACCCTATAATAATCATGATTAAAGAGGAACCAAAATCTATCTGCAAATGAATTGAGTTAACAAAGAAAAGAAACCATGGTATATATTCTCCTACTCATTTCTTTCCCTTTAATCTTCCTCTTCCTCCTCAACCACCGTAGAAAAGTCTCGGCCACCACTCGCCGCCTACCACCCGGACCACCGGGATGGCCTATATTTGGAAACATGTTCCAACTCGGAGAAATGCCTCACCGCACACTCACCAACTTAAGGCAAACATATGGTCCAATTTTATGGCTCAAAATAGGTGCCATAAACACCATGGCGATACTCTCAGCCAAAGAAGCTACCATATTTTTCAAAAACCACGACCACAGTTTCGCAGATCGAACTATAACTGAAACCATGCGTGCTCATAATTACGACAAATCATCCCTAGCTTTGGCTCCCTACGGATCCTACTGGCGACTCATGCGCCGTCTCGTGACCGTCGATATGTTGGTCATGAAACGCATAAACGACACCGTCTCCGTTCGTCGGAGATGCGTAAACGACATGCTGACTTGGGTTGCAAAAGAAGCAGTTCAGTTGAAAGATGGCCGTGGACTTCACTTGTCACAGTTTGTTTTCTTCATGAGTTTTAACTTGTTTGGGAACTTGATGCTGTCGCGGGATATGTTTGATATGGAATCTGAAAATGGATCTGAGTTTTTTAAAGCGGTTATGGGACTCATGGAGTGGACCGGACATGCGAACGTGTCGGATTTGTTTCCTTGGTTAAGGTGGTTGGATCCACAAGGGTTAAGGAGAAAAATGGATAGGGATATGGGAAAAGCTATCAAATTTGCTTCCACTTTTGTGAAAGAGCGTTTGGATTTAGAAGGAGTTCGTGATGATGATGCCAGAACAAGAGACTTCTTGGATGTATTACTCGAGTTTCAAAGAAATGAGAACCAGAATTCACTCAACATCTCAGATAAAGATCTCAACATATTCATCTTGGTAATCATATTACATGTTTTTTCTATCTAAGTCGTAATAAATAATAACTACTAAAAACTCACACATATTAGGGTTTGCTCCCTGATCCTGAATTTTTGTCAGTTGACTTAAAATTTATGTACTATTACATGATTATTTAACTTGTTAATTCAGGAAATATTCTTGGCTGGATCAGAAACAACAAGCAGCACAATTGAATGGGCTATGACGGAGTTATTATGCAACCGCGAATGTATGTTGAAGGTTAAAACTGAGCTTAACTCAGTGGTTGGTGCAAAAGATCTTGAAGAGAGTGACATAGAAAATCTTCCATACCTACAAGCTGTTGTTAAGGAATCTCTAAGGTTACATCCTCCGATTCCACTACTTGTTCCAAGAAAAGCAGTGGAAGAGACAGAGTTTATGGGATACTTGATACCAAAAGACACACAAGTGTTTGTGAATACATGGGCTATTGGAAGAGACCCAGATGTTTGGGAGGAACCATTGGTTTTCAAACCTGAGAGGTTTTGTGATAGTGATAGTAAGAGTTATAAGACTGATTATAAAGGACAGCATTATGAGTTTATACCATTTGGAGCTGGAAGAAGAATGTGTGCTGGTGTGCCTTTGGCTCATAGGATTCTTCATCTTGTTTTGGGATCCTTGCTTCATCGATTTGATTGGGAGCTTGATAGCAATGTTACGGCGTTGACTATGGATATGAGAGATAATCTTGGGATAACCATGAGAAAGTTTGAACCATTGCTTGCTGTGCCTAAGTTAGTTGGTTTTTAATGATTAGTATTTTTGTAAGATAATAATTGTCACATTTCAAGAAAAAGTGTTTGAAAATAATTGATTTTTTTTAATGTTAAATTTATTACTTTTAACTATTTTTTTAATTAATAGTATTTACACTATATTATATTTTCAATTGAAGCAAGACATTGCTTCTATAGAATCACGATAAACAATCGGAATCCTAACTATATGTGGGTATTATATATATATATATATATATATATATATATATATATATATATATATATATATATATATATATATATATATATATATATATATATATATATATATATATATATATATATATATATATATATATATATATATATATATATATATATATATATATATATATATATATATATATATATACTCTTTAATAAATGTAAATACATAATATGTATAGAAGAATCACTTGTATCTGAAAATAAAAATAAACTTATTAATAGTATGATATAAAATCTAGTTTTTATTATTTTCTCAAGTTCGAGAGAATCTTCAGTTAATTTTATCGCAGAATAATTATCTTTGAACCACTTTAATTTAATTTTTTGGCCCTTCATATCAAATCGTGTCAAGGGTTTACCTAAAAGTTGTTTAGTAATAGTTTCACCAATATGTGTAGGATCATTTATCGACTTACCGTTAATTGGTAAACCTAACATTATGTACACGTCCTCAAGTGTAACGGTACATTCACCCCTCAAAAGATGGAATGTATGTGTCTCGGGTCTCCACCTTTCTTAAAGAGCAAGAATAAACTTTGTATCAACGACATATGTCTTTAATTTTTTAAGGTGGTCAAATCCGACGCGCTCTAAATAAGGTTCAATTAATTCGTCATGTGCAACATAACCATGGACACAAGTTTGAAAATCATGAAGGTTCTAAGAAAAAAGTTAGTAAGATATAATTAAGTATTGAATATAAAATATGATGAGCAATATATTTAAATTGAAGTACATAAGAAACAATGTTGTTAAATGTTCCTTTATGCTCTTCTCACATTGTTAAAAGAGTCATTTTTCACTTAGTAGCAATGTGATTAGTTGAATTTGTAGTAACAGAGTATTTGTTGATGAGAAAATGAATGGAAGAGTGGTAGTATTTACAATAATAAATAGTATAAAGAAGATGACGAAAATTAATGTAGTGTAGATGAGATATATTAATTACATGTAAGAAGATGAGTTAATTTTCACAGGTCTGCATGCATGCAACGCTGCATGCAATTTTTAGGTGTTATTAGTAAGGGTTGTAGTGGAATTGACACCCTAGTTCATTTGTAAGAGGAAGTTGCCTAGTTATTGGCACCCTTGCTCAAAATTAAGAGAGGGTTGCATAGCTACTAGTTGCCACAATCCTCCTTTTGTCCATGTTTACTTCATAAGACACCTTACTCAAAATTTCATGCGGGAAATCAAAGACAGAAATCTTTGTAAAAAATTGTGAACACGGGGTATGTTTTAAACCAACCACCATTCATGTATTATCGCGAGGAAATAAGATTGTCAAATGGGAAGACATTAAAGTGGATGGATAACATTCCAGTGGAGAAATAGACAATGACATTTGATAAAGGACGTCGATGGGGCCACATGACAACGAACTTTGTGGAATCCATGAACGGCGTATTTAAGGGCACTAGAAACCTACCCATCACTATGTTAGTTAGAGCAACCTATTATAGGTTGGGATCACTATTTGCGACCAGAGGTAAAAAAACGGAGTGCGGTGTTGGAATAAGGGCAATTCTTCAATGAAAACTACATGAAATTTATAAAGGAAGAAACTATTAAAGCATCCTCTCATCGCGTCACATGATTTGACTGTCAAGATTACAACTTCATTGTTAATGAGACAAGGGATCATAATGAGGGCCGACTAATGGGACACTACCAGGTGGAAATTCATAAAAAAATTAGTTTAATTTGGGATCATAAAATTTGTACCCCTTAGATTTTTCAAAATAGCTAATAAAGTAACTGCTCACTGTTCGAGAGTCCAATTTCTTTTCATTTGGCCTATAAGACCTTGCCTCAGCTGGATATCCCCACACATAAAAATGTTTCAAACTAGGCTTTCTCCAAGTCCAAAGTTCATAAGGTGTTTTGACAGCTTCTTTTGTTGGTATTCTATTTAGAATATAAGCTGCAATCTTTAATGTCTCTCCCCAAAGTGACTCTGACAAGGTAGAATGATAAATCATACTCCTTACCATATCCTTAAGAGTATGGTTCTGTCTTTCAACAACACCGTTCATGCTAGGTGATCCTGGCATGGTATATTGTGGGACGACTCCACATTCCTCTAGGTATTTGGCAAAATGTCATATAGTTTCCACCTTTAACGACTTGCCATCTCCCACATAGATGTATCTTTCAACATCATTTGAATTTCAGTAGTTCAGGCAACCCTTCATTGAAACATTGATGTTAGTAGTTGCTCCAGAGTCTAACCACCAAGTGTTTTCAAGTACTGAAACTAAATTGACCTTAAAACAGACCAAACTATAACTAATTCAATTGGAGGGATCTCACTTCTCATAAATTTTCCTCTATTTAGAGGTACTAGATTCCGTAGAATAATGTGGTTGCTCCATCCTTAATGAAACTTCAAGATTTATGCAGCCAAGAACATTTTCCATGTTCTCATTCCAATCCTTAAAATTTATCTCATTAAGGGCCTGAACTTTATTCATATTAGCAGATATTGAAGCAATTGTAGCTGAAAAATAGATCATAATCAACACTATAACTATACTCACAAAAAAAACAATTGAATTATCATTTTGTTCAAATAAAGACATAACTCATCTTAAGATACCTAGTGCATCATCAATATCAAGTATTTGGACAGTAAAATTATCTGCTAGTAGTACTCTTGTTGCAATGATCAAACATTGATAATAAAAATCATGTCCAATAATAAACCCCTCTTGGAATTGGTTTATTATTCATATGTAAGACCTTATAATTATCACATGTCACTATGCCAAAAAAGACCTTTAGCAGCGCTTTTTTTGGCCTTTAGCAGCGTTTTAAAGCGCTGCCAAAAGTGGCGCTGCTAAAGGTAAAGGCAGCGCTTTTTTTCAATGAAAAAGCGCTGCTAAAAGCTCCCTTCAGCAGCACCTTTAGCAGCACTTTTTTAGCCCTTTAGCAGCGTGTCGCTACTGCGAAAATCGGCGCCGACTGACAGAAGAGTCGCCACCGTGCGTTATTTATCCCAACGGAGGGAAAGGAAACGCTCGAAGTAAACCTCGCAAAAAAAACGGGGAAAGGTATGGTCACCGCAACCAAAACCTGGGTTCGGGAGTCGGTTACACAAGGGGAAGGTATTAGCACCCCTCACGTCCGTCGTACTCGACGGGATCCACGCTTGCTTGGATTGTCTACAGGATACAAAACAATCTATCTACGGCTGCTAAATCTAAACGGAAGGGAATTGACTCGATAGAGCGTCGCACTCTACGCCTACGTATTCTCAAGAGAGAGAAAGTCAGAGTCAACGTAGTTCGGGACTACAGGAAAAATTGGTTCGCCAAGACCTCGCGTCTTGTGCCTACGTACTTCCACACTGCATGGAAGATCAGTGCTTTACGTAGTTCAGGCTAACTACGGCTAGACAGGGGGTATTCTCACACAGCAGTGAGAAAATCAACTGGTTTCAAAGGTACGGGAACCTATGGGCAAAACTACGGCTTGGTCTCAAATGCACTCGGGCAAGAGAGAAAAAGGGTAACATTAGTCGTCAGCGGGAAAGGTCTCGATCGCACAGCAGCGAGAGAACACAAAGTCAGTTGTTAGTGTGCTCGCTAGGATATCGCATCCTATGCCTACATATTCTTGTCTGGTACGAGAAATCAGAGCAGCTGTAGTTCGGCTACTTCGGGACCACAACTCAAATCTCGTTTTATTAACATTCCAAAAAATGGTTACAATGAGTGAATACTGAAAATAAATCTCCTAGGAAATACTATCCTATCCTATCCTGAAAAAATCAAATGAAAAATTCCCCTAACAAGTGGACTTCTAAGGATGTCTCTAAAAGGGTAAAATATCTCTATGAAAAAAATGCACTCTAAAAAATATTAAGTCTACTTTAATATTTTTTTCTCTTTTTCCTTCTTTTCTTTTCAACTATTTTCTCCTTTCTTTCAAAATATTTTTCATATATTTTTCATATTTTTCTATGTATTTCTCTCCATATTTTCCCTTTTTTAAAATATTTTTCTCAATTTCTTTTCTTTTTCTATTTTTCTTTTTTAATATTTTTTCACAATATATTTTTTCTTTATTATTTTTCAATATTTCTTTTTCTTTTTCCTTTTTTCAAATATTTTCTTTTCTTTTTCTCAACTATTCTTTTCTCTTTTTCTTTGCTCTTTTCTTTTTTTCAATATAACAAAAAGCTAATGTAAAGATTATAAAAAACAAAAGAAAAACAAAAAGAAAGAAAATACACAAGGGGAGGGGGGTACACCAGTTATTACAAGGGGGAATTGATCTGCAGAAAAAAAAGAATGGGCCCAGCCCACTAAAAAAATATTCATACGGGGAGGGGGTTTGATGATGAAACTGGGGGCAATTGGCAAGACAATCCCAGCCCAGCCCACAAAAATTAACCAGACCACACGCAGGGGGGTAGGGAAATCCAGAAACGGGGGTCGTAGCAAGAAAAACAATCCAACGGGCCTTTGAGCCCAATCCCACACGAGCCCGTTTCAGAAAAACCAAAAAAAACCCTAAGTCTTCCTAACTCCCTTTCACTGTTCACCTTCCCTCAGCGCCGTTCCCTTCTCCTTCTCCCTCCCTCAACCTCGTTCTCCCTCGTTTCCTCCGTCCCAACCAACTTCTTCCTCTCAACCTCCCTCTCTACCATCTCTCTTCTTCTCCGTTCAACCAGAAGAACCTGAACACAACAAAAATATTGCCAATCTGGAAACTGATGAAGGTTAGTTGAAGATGGTTCATGTTCTTGATGAGAAATCT